ACCCCGCCCATCGCGCCAAACGACATACACCCACTGCCGTGGACCAAACGCAAAGCGTATGCCCCAGTGACAATTGCGACGTCTGTCAAATATCGCGGGCCGACTCACCGCGTGCGACGGCTGCAGCGTGACCTAGTTTCGACGGACACGCGCAACGAAGCGCACCCAAGAAATACGGGTCTGATCAGTGTTTAAACAATAGCAGACGACATAAGGCTTCACAAACTTTAAAACTGCGAACAAAATTAGAACAATGGTGATACCATGGCTTTCAACGTAGTCGATTGAATGGCGAAAAAAAGCAGGCACGGGCACACCATCTAAGGAGGGATCCACTTCAATTGCCTTCTCGAGAGTTACGCCTAGTACTCGGCGGAGGGGCTAAAATGATGAATTGATACGAACAGAGCGATGATTGGATCATTTTCTCACAGAAATAAAGTAGGCCATAGAGGAGTCCTGAAAATAACGTAACTTAGATTTCCGGAAACTTATACAAGATCAGAAGCCACATTGAGTCTCTAAACCGACAATGGGAGCGATGTCGGCTGAACCGAATATGCGGTGATGACTTACCTTCTTTCTTTATTGCGTAGCAAACGCATGTGGACATACCAACTACTACTGAACAAAAGAAAAAACTTCGAAGAAAAGGATTGAACCTTATAAAGCATCAATGGAAAACATTAAACTTTGATCAAGGCATAGATAAAAGATGAAGAAGACTGCACATGCACAACGAAGGAAACGAGAAGCAGTGCTTTTGAATTTTTGAAAAGTAGGAATCTGTACTAATTCGCATCTAACACTCCATGCCCCCACGATAGGTGAAGAAACTACGCCTCACCGATGTACGAGGATGCTGAAAAGTGTGCATTAGCGTTTCTCCTTCAGTTCTAGAATGTGCTGGTCCTAAAATGCGTGTCTACTCAAGTGAACTTGTTCATTAGGAATGTTGGAGAAAAATGTCGCTTCTTTTTATCCTGATACGCAAGGTATTCGAAATGAGCATCTTGTTCCTAATTATCCCTCGAGGGATGCTACTGTAGGTAAAACCAGAAGCTCTAAGGAGCAATTGATAGTGAAACTGCATTCTATTTTCTTTAATTTTCTTGACAAGGACTTGCTGTGGGAGTCCAGAACTGCATGCCCATTGATTTTGCACTTCCTATTAGGCAGGAGTGGGTTTTTAGATTGCGGGGTTTGAAAAGTAAGGAAACTCTCTGGTTTGCTTTGCGTAAAAGATTTCTCAAGTGCACTTCTAGCCGCAATTAGTGTCAATTTGAAGGCCTACATCCTTGACAGATTCTGCTGCATTCAAAGCAGAACCATTGATGTTACATTGAATCTAGTTCTTGGTTCCCTATAGGTAAAGCACTTTTGTTTTGTGTATAAAACGGGAGCAAATTCGTAGCCGATCAACGCACTATAGCAACTACCGGATCCTCAAGTTAAGAATATGGGATACCAGCCGTGCCATAGATTTTCAAATCATCAGCACATTTGAAATTTCATCCGGAGACTTTGCGCGACTAGGAGAGTGTACAGAGAGTGAGGGAAAGTGATTTGTCACCGTACTTATGTACCAGATCAAATCCTAGCTCATGCCATAGCCCTCGTCTTCATGAAGACGATTCTCCTCTTAAAATGCATAAAGCGTTAGGTTTTGATAAGAGAAACATCAAGTTACTCGCTCCTTTGTCCAAAGAGAGTATCCAGACTTTCTTTTGACCCTCCTACGGCACGCAACTCACGCAATTCCAAGATTACCTCGAAGAACTTCAACTCGTCCGTTCAGTTTTGCTCTTCGCTTATCCGCTGCTATTTTGCCTACCGCTTAGCTTTCTATCGAAAAATAGATTTCTGCACGGTTCAATCAGGACACCACTCACCTAATAGTATCTAAATGAGTAATCGACTTGAAAACGGAGCCGTGTTCAGTGATGCAATAGCTAATCAACGTTACAATGATTGTAAAAGAAATAGTGAATCTAGACTAATGGTCAATGTACGTAAAACGCGTGCCAATGGCAACGTATTTGTAATGCCATAAAAGGTGGAAACAAAGCAGCTTTCATCATAGAAATGAAAATGAGCAAAGTAAAGCAAAATAATCACCGCAGCGTCCCGCAACGAATCTTGTTTCTCACATTTTTCAGAATCATCCAGCTTTTTCCATTTACCTAGCATTTTCCTAGACGATTTGCGTGACACCCTTGAACATAGAAACCTGTATTACTTCCACAATTATTTCATGGGAAATCAATGTAACCTACAGTCGAAGGCCCTTCCGCTTCTTTTCCTTCTCTCCTTCTTCAACCATTCTAGGCGGTTTTTCAACGAACTTAGTATCACAACTATAATTTTCAACAACTTGGAAACATATCAACGCGACATACCAATTATGCAAAGCAAATAAATAAAATATTGAATTCAATCGATTTTCATGAATTGCTGCGAAAGCAACTGATCTTTATTCCATGTAGTTTATGAACATTACATTCAAGAATAGCTGAACGAACGAAGAAGTAGAAATCAATTGAAGATAGACTATGTGATTTCTTTCGGTGCTTTTGCTGGAGTTCGATAAGGCATTACTTGGATGTATAGTAAGTCATACATATGACTAATTGTCAAGAAGAGTCAGAGTACCAGGAGGGTTATCTTCGAAATATAGAATTGTACATCGAACTCTGACGTGATTCTAGGCTCAAGTTAAGCAAAAGAGTTTCGACTGTAAGAACATAGTGCAAACACAAACAAGTGAAAAGCTTTCTAAAAGAAAAAACATTCACAAGATGGTAGGTAATCAGTACTCACTAAAAGTGTGATAGTTCTTCCAAATCAACCAACTGAACAAGGGCGGTTGGCACCTCAAAAGTGCTCCATAAGAGCCAGAGCTTTGCGAAGGTTGTCGACAACGGCACGAGTATCTTCATAGTCAATGGCACTCAAAGCGTACTTGGTGAATTTACGAGCTTCATTGAAAGCTTCCAGTGATGGCTTGCGGTTATCATTATCTAGAAACCAAAGTTAGTAAGAATCATCAAGTGAGAACGATAAACGTGAGCTGGACTCCATTAGCAGGAACTGTTGACATCATTAAACAAACGATGAGAGTGTAATTGAAACTATTGTTTTCATTGAAAGCCACCAAGGGCGGGTAATCTAAGGCCAGCTTTTGGCAAAGAAAAATGTGAAAATGATAAAAATATCGCAGCTTTGAATCCAAAATCATCCAACTTCGTGACAAAACGCCCAGTTCGTACTCCAAAGCATGCCCCGGTAATTACAGATCAACCGCGATCAACACTAAGTGCCGAGAAGCTTAACTATTGAATACTCAAGCTAATCAGAGACCCATCGAAATAAGCTGAGCGGCAGATGCACGATCGGTTTGAAAAACAATTTGCGCATAAGCCTATTCTGTTCATGAACAGTCACCAACATTCTTCCCTAATGACAGAAGCTTTAATGAGCAAATCAAGCTGTACAAGAAAAAATATCAATAAACATAAAACTAGAGTTAAATATTTTCTAGGCTCATATCCACAAAACCTACCAATACTCAAGCCACTCATTTCAGGCACTATTGTATTCATCGGTGTCGGATTGTTGTAATTACTATTTTGAGCTGGAAGCGGTGCTTGTGACGCAGAGACGTTCGGGCCTGCTAAAACAATTCAATGAATCTCAAATGATAATCTCAACTATATTTTTAATAAACCAGACAGACCTGTAAAACCTGGCACATTTGGTAATCCAGCAAAGCCGTAATTAGTGGGAAGAGACGATTGCTTTCCGCCAAATGGGTCTCCACTGTGATCCGCCGTTCCCGCATGTGGTTGGTAACCTCCGCTGGAGGATGCGGAATCGGCGTTCGGATAGCTGTGCTCGGTAGGGCCGGGTACGCCTCCTGAAGATGCATCGCTGAACTCTGGAAATTTCATTGTATTTTGGAGCCTTTCGATTTCATATTGAGTCGAATATGACGTAATGTACGAAAACGAACGAACACTCTGACTTCAGAACATTTATGAACCTCTTTACAACAGAACCTTACCGCCTGCATCAGGTTGACTGCTCGGCACATACGGTCGACCTTCTTTGAGGCAAGAAAAGATTTGTGTACTTTTCCACTTGGCATATTTCTTAGAACTCAGAAAAGGTTCCTCAACCTGAAAACGTAAGAATGACTGCTTTACAGAGAAATACAAGGGAAGGAAGGCGAAACAAATGCAAGAAACACAGTTTCAATTGATAAGATATGGGGTGCTCATAGTAATTCTGTAGTAGCAATACAAATAATTATTGTGATTTCAGGAACAATGTAAATTACACTCCCTAGTCGGTGAGAAATCCGACGCTGCGCCCCGTGCATCTCTGTCAACCGAAGAGGATGTCCTATTCTATCGCTGAGATAATGAGGTCACGCCGCACAACGTGACGCGCAGCGACTTGCGAGGCAGGAGTGGACATGATTCCATTGTAACAACTCCTGATAATTGCACTTCATCCTGATTAGCACTGTAAATTTAAGAGAAATGCCAAGAAATAAAAGCACAGGAAACAACCTGAAAAAGGCCTGCATACAAACTGAAGAAGGAGCAGAGACTCTTCCTTCCCGAAATCCCACAATCGCCGTGTTGGTGCATGCTCACGACAAAAGAAGTAAATATCAATCGCTATGGATTGAATGTGGCGCGGCATCATCACCTTGGTGATAGAATCGCAGCACACTCTCAGCCAAAGTATGACCGCGACCTCTGATAATACCATTCGCTTTTCTCAATACGCTATCGTCATATATCATTACTGTGTAAACTGTCTAACTCTACCAACTGGCCATAAAAAGTACAGGGCGCATTCATAGTGCGAGACGGCGATTTCGCAGTCGACGTCTGCTCCTACATCAATCGATGAGTTGGAAAAATATGCGCTTGCAGGAGCTCTGGGACAGTCACAGAACGCATTTATACGGAACCCTCAGTCCAATTTTTCAAGGGAGCTGTTTCCTTTTTCGTGTGAGGATACCTTACTAGGAAGCACAGCTTTACTTTCCCTCTTGCAATCGCGAAACGAAATTTTGCACCCGAATCTTCCTTTTTGGTCCGTTCTTTACAGGCCAGCGTCCTGTAGCATGCGTCATCGACTTGCGAGATATCGACCGACAGCCAGTCTGACGTTGGCGTCAGGATGGTACTATGAATGCACTCAATCACGCAGTCATGATCATAATTTCTTAATGGAAAATGTCGCAAGTTCGATATCGATAATTGACATAATTAAGAGCAAACTATACCCAGTGCTATTCGTTGACCGTGGTTATTCTGTGCTTTACAAGTGGAGAACTTCCACTTTTTTGCCCTCCATTAGGTCTACACTCCTATCACGATTCCTCTGGGATTCTACTACCTTTGCTTCACATCGTGACATAGCACTTGATGTGGAATCGTGACCGTGTTAGGGAGAAAGGTGCTAGTTAAGTGTCAATGAAATGGAGAGAAATGGATGCTGCTCACTTACCTCACCGAACAAGGAAAGTACATCCATGATGTGTCCCGCTGTGTAGAAAGCATGTACTACGCTTTTGTCGACCTGACCCGCTTTCTCTCGAGCATCAGCGAAATTGAAGAGTTTCAAAGCAAAGTCCTCCAGATGTGCTTGTGCTACAACCTTAAACTCGATTAAATTACTCATAAGATTCCAATCGAGCGAGTGACAACAGACTTCGTTAGTTATGGCCTCAGTGGTAGCCAGTTGCTTCTTAATAGTCTCCAGTGTACTGAGTAGGCCGGTCAGAAACTTCAGCGCTTCTGGCGAACTTTTATCCAAATGCATCGCATTTTGTACAGCATAGAAGAGGCCTAAGAGCATTGAGTTGAAACAGTAGATTTTCTGAACAAAAGGGAAACTCACACCAGTAATACACTACCGGATCACGGGCAGAATTCTCGTTGGCAATCTTAATGTAATGAGCGATTGGTTTCAGAGACGCTGGGACATTCGCCGCCATACTTGTTCGACTGGCTAAAGATGGAGAAATTGCACGAACAAAAATATTAAATGGAATCTCTGTTCAATTCTGATCACGAAGAAGTTCGACAGCTAGGAGAAATATGGAATAAAGTTCCTGATTTTCTTCCATCACCTCATGTTGAAAATTCAAAAGGTGAGAAGTATTCGCACAAGAATATCGAGCAATGATAAATGAAAAGATGTAAACCTTCCATCGGTTCAATGGCGGTCGCTTGGTCGACGACAACGCTTGTATTATATTTAAGCCTTGCGCAAAAGCCTATACTCACTTCTGGGCTTTCGTATGCCCTTTCATACTGACACTACCCCCNCCCCCTGGTCAAATAACTTCCACACAATTATTTTTGGTGCATCCATTCTGATGCTCTTCCTTGCTTTCTGCTTGAGGAGAACGCCTGCCCGGGTTAGAATCGTTTTTGTGAACCAAACGATCTGTATTGGTAGACGTACAACAAAAAAGAAAACCCGTACAGGCGCCCGGTTCCCATTGTAGCCAGGGTACATTCACCCAATTCCGGACGGACGCGGCAAACTAGGCGGCGAGATTCGTGGTGGCCCAGACGACTCTAGCGCTTATCATTGGGGCTCAAGTTCTAAGTAGACTGGATAGCTGATGCCACTTATCTACCCTACTTCAAAATTGCGCCCCAATAATAGGCGCCAGAGACGTTTAAGTCATCACGAACTACGCCGCGCAGTTTTCTGTGTCCGTCCAGAATTGGGTGAATGTTCCATCTCCCATAGTGGCCCAACGTGAAATAAAAGTAACAAACACAGAACTGTAACGAACAACGCGTTCCGCAACAAGGTTTCTTCGATATATGCCGTCATACCTTACATATATGCAAAGCATCGAAAAAAGCCACGCGACTGTTGGTACTGGTTGTCTGCCCTGAGTTTTCGCTTTCAAATACGAGCGTAACCAATGAAATTATTATCCAGGGCAAATGCCGGTGTGATTCGCAGCTATTGTGTAAGTGGTAACTGTTGCTGCGGAAATTCCCTGCTATATACAAATCGTTAGTGGGTGTCTGATATGTGCCTGTCCATATGCTTGCATTCCTGCCAGTGTTGTTGTTGATTGTTGGTTTTACGTGAAATTGTGGAGTACCTCAAGAGAGATCGCAAGATTGGCTCAAGCTCAGGATGGCCGGGTGGCGCATATAGCTCCTACGTGGTTTCGGCGGAGCTCCGCTCATCACAGGTGGAGCGTGCACCGGGTGGGCGGAGTTCTGTCGTCGTCCCCACTGTCAGAGCAAAAGTTATTACTTTGGTTTCAAGTCCCCCCTATTCCGGAAAAAATTTTGCGTAGTGAGAAACTAGTCAACAAGCAAGAGGAAGCAGACAACCCATCCGAAGCGGGCAGAGCGTGCCGAACGTACTTACTCGAAAACTAGTAGCCCTGATGAGAAGTCCTTCATATTCATGCATGTGTTAGCGCGCTTTAGCTCGACCTGTACCGCCTGGTCGCACATATGAAAACAGCGAGTGGGCAAACAAATCAGGCACAAATTATTCATAAACGGCACAGCAATAAATACCGAGCAGACGGCTTCAAACACATACAGGAAGACCTGACATAATAAATTTATGCGTAAAAAGGATCATGTATCACATTTTCTATCACAACAAGATCTAGGAGAAACTCGAAAAATAGGTTCACTCCTAATTAGTATGTACATCCTCAGGCACAAGTATTTCAAATACAGTTAAACATCAAAGCCCTTAATAGGAGTCAATCGTGTAGGGAAATTTTGTATAATATTGTTATTCACTGTTAGACCGAGACAATCCTGCTAACATACTGTCAAAACTACATTTTCGTTCTTCTTGCGGAGGTACACTCAAACCGGAATTTCCACAACATAAATAACCCAGTCTTCCAATAGAGCTGTTTAAAATGCAGTTCCGCCTGCTAGCAAAAAAAACTTTGAGAACAACACATAGGGAAGACGTGCCTAGGGTTTGGACAAGGAGCCACCACCATTGCCGCCTGGCGGTGTTCCAGTTGCGTCATGCATCTCAGGTGTATATGTCAAAACAATAAAGAACACCCAAAGATGGACTAACACAAAGTAAACTGTAACAAAAATACGAGCCGTTGGATAATTTCGCAGCACTGAAATCATTCTAAATACGATCGAGTCCACGACCGTAACAGCCTGCTTCGCAGCTGGGTGATGAACGGGTAATGAAGCCGAAGGAGGATCTATTGGTATCACAGTTTCTCGTGCATACTTCTGAAACATAATGTGAACTTTCCTAAGCAAAACTAAAATAACAAATAAATCGCATAAATCGCATAAGAACGTATGAGAACATCTTTCGTTATGTCCGAACTATAAGATCAATCACAAGCTAGCGTACCAAGGAGTCAATGATTTTGATCAGTTGCCAGTGAAAATGACTTGGTAAAGTAGAAATTTTATGCTTATTCTCAATTAATACTGCAGAGCCAAATCCACAGGGAGAAAACGCAGGTGTTAGTGTGCAACGGCCTAAGTAGCACATGGTAAGCTCCAAGACTGCTAGCTGAAAGGATAGTTGTCTTAGATCCAGTTCCATCACTGATCTTCAGCAATAGTGAAAAAAAAACTTTGCTCTTCATAAATGGGAAAAAGCTAGTTTTCTCAGTTATCGAAATGTAGGAGGCTGTGGTCATTCCGCTTGGACTACAGAAGCAATGCTCAAGGGCGAAAGCATAAAATTGGACAAAAACATTTTCTAGAATCATTCATTATACTTGTACAATCCCAAAAAGTTCGTCGGTTCTTCCATCAGAAACCGTTTTGAGCAGGCATTGGTGAACGTTGGCAAACTTAACAATAAAGCTGCATTGGAACTACTCAAGGTCTTGAACGGCAATACAGTACCTTCTATGAAAGACGGTTTCCGGTGTTCCGTATGACCGGCGAGGCTGCAGTTAGTCGGTGGGAAGTGCTAAACTGTTTTGCAAACCTTTAGCATTAGTTATACGAATGCAGAACAAGTTCATACTCACGGGATGCAAACGCTCATGCCAAGCTTGCGAGTCCATGGCTCTACTTGCTGCGCTACTGCATCTGCCTGGGTGAACTTTTCCCCGATTTCCCACGCTCGCTTTGCGGCACGCGATAAATCTCTTTCAGTTGTACCGCTACTTAAAGCTGCAACTCCCGTACTCAGCAAGAGCGCGACGCAGTGCTCGGGAAGAAGATACCCTGTATCATACATATGCCTCAGCGACTCGCTCTCGACAAAATCCAAATCACATTTCCAAAATCGTTCCACAGATTTGGAATGTGTATATGACACCAGCATCCAAGAACACATATGTAGGCATACACCTCAACTTAATGGCCCCTGCGCCCTAGTATCCTTCCCTTGTTAGCAGAGCTTGCGCGAAAAGAAGACTTCAAAGAAGTCTATCGCAACTGTCAATGCAACAATACGTCAACGTCAGCGACTATCTAGAAGTGCGAGATGGTGAACGATATCGACTTGCTCAACCTGTCTCTTCAAACCGACGACGCAGGAAACTGTTTCAGCATCAGGGACGAGAATGGCCACCTTCTGAAGAGTCACAAGAGAGTAGTGAATGACAGGCACACTTCCAGAATTTTCAACAGTGGAATTTATCCTTTCACTACTGCGCCTCGACAGTATCCAGTCTCGTACATATCGTGAAGCAAAAGGAAACCGTTCTGAAGAAAATGTCAATTGACTAGGCAACTAGCCGTGATAATTTGGAAGCTGGCTTCCGAATGTCATGGTGCTTGAATCCTGTAGCACGATCAGCTATGTGATAAAATCGTCACAGAGAAGAAGCGTTGATAAGAGAGTACCACCATTTCTATTTCAATGAGAGACAGTCTTCCAGATGACATGCGCTATCGTACAATTCGCCTGCTTTGGCACAGGATGAATCTTCGGAACGAATTGTTAACGGCCGTATCCCAAAATTCGCCCGACTGTTCACCAACCAGCATTGTTGTATCACCGGTTGCAGTACTATCGATGTAAACAATGCCCTTCGCCTCTCCCTAGAAATTTTCGCAAGACACGAAAACTGAGCATCTCGAGTCTTTTGACTTCCATCTGGAAAATACTTTCGATCGTAGGCCGTAATATGCCCTGCGACAGCAATAATTCCCTTCACAACTTACTGAGTGGTAGGGAATCAGATCCGACGAGTCAGGTGCAAACACCAGCAAGTACCTATCCAAAACTCCCCATGTTCATCGAGGTGCAACAGAGCAAGTGCTTTCCCCAGGGAGGCGGTCGTTTGGCTGAACGGCGCGCTGGGCGGGGACCCCGCCCATCGCGCCGTTCAGCCGTTCAACTCGCGTAATCTTCTGCTCTCCTCTCCTCTATAGGTGATCGATTGGGCTTTTATCATCTGTAGAGGAGGAGAGTTGAAGTCGAAGTCGAACGAGTTGAACGGCGCGATGGGCGGGGTCGCGCCGCCTCAAATGGGCGGCGCGACCGCGCCCACCGCGCCAAACGACATACACCCCTTTCCCCACCACCATTCGCTGTTGTCATGCAGGCCGCCTTACGGAATTTTCAGAAGCTAGCCTTGTAGACGCTGCTTTATGTAGACGACTTTATGATCAGGTGCGGAAACAGAAATAAAGTCAGCAACAGGTGCAACCTTGATTCGACGGTCTACTATGATCAGGTCCCGGTTAAACGTTGCAGTCAACTGATTAATGTACTTTTAAGATTAATTGTACTATGCGTCCACGTACATCTGGTATATATTATCTAGAATCGGCAATTGTGTTTGAATGTAGTATGGCCTCTCAAATAGACTCAATGTGAGTGCCCCGTCCAAACGGCACTGGATGACTGGCGTTCTCTGCAATATAAGAACCAGAACGTTCGAAACCAAAGACCTACGGGGTTGCTGAATGACCACTCGTGATTTAGTCGCACATTACAGGCTGATGAATAAGTGTAACTCAAACTCCGTGAAAAAGGAGCCACAATGGAAAGGTAACATTAGGGTTCAAACGTGAACGGCACACACAATGATTTTCATTGCCGCCTCGCAAAAAATATCTTATAGCTCACTTGCAACTTTTCCAGCCGAATCGAGAGCATTTGATTTCTTCGATGGGCTTCTTCTAGTTCTATTTGCTTCTGCAGAAGGCGCTCGCCCAAGGAGAGGCCATCGGCACTGCGTGTGTCTTCCTCGCGCCTCCTAGGTACTAGAACGTTGGGAAATGAAAAAGAGAAATGAATAGTAGAGAAACATCAGGAAGAAACAACAGCACGTGAATCAAGGACGACAGATCAATAAAAATAATGGAAGTTTCCTACCTCGCTCGTTGGTCCTCCACATTTTTCCTGAGCTGTGCCTCCTGTGTTTCTAGTTTTCTGGCGAAATCATCATTTTGCCTCTTCATCTCCCGCTTTGCAAACTCACTCTCGATTCTGTAACACACTCTCGATTCTGTACCACGAACCTTTCGTTTTACACATGAAAACGGAAGGTGCAGCAATAAAAATAGGCGGTAAGTAACGAACAACAAAAGAATACATGCTTGAGCTAACCTTGCACAGTCCACTTTTTCGTTCAGAAGTGCAACTGTAGCATGCCAACTCTGCTTCTCCTCCAAATACTGCCTTCTTTGCTCACTTTGTTTCATCTAAAGAGTTCATTCGCTGAGAGAACGTCACACAACAAATAAAGTTCTGAAGACGAGCTAGTGTTTCGGCACCTGCTCCTCCCTGAGCTGATTCTCCATTTCCTCTATCTCTGACCGCAAATTATATACCATAAGTTGAGCGGATTCTAGGTCTGCACGAGCAAGATCTCTACAATGTCACATTGAGACAGTTAAAATTCACGAACTGATTACAGAAACTATGTCTCAGATTTCGGTTACGAAACAACGACCACCATCAANCACTTAGCAGCCATAGGCTTCTCCTTCTAAGACATTATGGACAATAATTGGCTGGTGATATTTCTAGCTTTGTTCTTCCTCTCCACATCTAGCGCCTTCGTACTTGTATGATTTCGAGTCCAAACTGCGTATTTTATGTGAAGAATCACGTCTCGCAACCTACTTGCTATTTTTAGCTGGGCAATAGAGACGTAAGTAATGCTCAAGGCAGCATGGTGAGCTCGGCGGACCGCCTGCAATATTAAGTACACCCTTGATGTGCGTTAAATGGAAGGGAGCCCGTATGCATACAGCAGCACTACAGAGACGAAGTCCTCAACCCTCGTAGGAATCTGATATTTGTCACGTAACCAATAACCGCCTCACTAGATTGGAAAAAGCTTGAAGTTCACTTCTACTCATGAAAGGTTTTTCGGAACAAAACATACCACTATTAATCAGGCGAATTCTACGACTGTCGTCTCCCAGTTTTGAGAGAAGATGGTAGCTGACCTGCCCAACAGTAGACACTTTGTGATAAGCGTCTAAACGCTTATCACAAAGTGTCTAAACGTTTTTGAACAAAATTATATATAATTTCAAAAGTGTTTTTCGTTCGAATGTAAGTCACGCCCAATGTAGGTGGAGCAACGCGAAGTTCACGCATGCCCGGTATATACTTGGCCTTGACCACTCCCTTTATTTTTTGTGGCCTCCACGCCTTCGTTGAATCGGATTAATAATTTAGTTGGAAATTACCGCCAGTTTTATGTACGCCCCGCCCACAGCGGTGACCTTCTCTATCTAATTTGCAGGCCCATTCCTAACCTTTGCCCATTATTTCCTGCCGTCGGAGCTGGCCCCAACCCAGTGATAGGCATGTTATTGCCAAGGATGGCATGTTTCCACTTGCTCAAACGTGTAGCGCAATGCTCCAATGGCATCTTTCATAGTCCACGACCGGTCGCGCGACTGGTCGCGGACCCATCTCACGAGCGACCGGCGACCGGTCGCGCGACCGACCGCTCAACTGGTCACTCGACTGATCGCGCCACTGGTCGCTCGATCGGTCGAGGAGGCCGCCCTAGTTATGGGTGCCGCCGTGGACGGTCCCGCGCGATCAGTCGACCAGTCGAGCGACCAGTCGCTAGCGACCGGCGACCAGTCGCGCGATCGATCGTGGACTATGAAAGATGCCAATGGAAATGTCGTCAGTAGCTTTCGGACGCTAACTCGTCCTGCCCAGTGTTGTAAATCGCCGTCAAGGTGTATAGTGGTTTGGCGAGACCCCTCTCACCGTGCCGCCCATTCGACGCGGTTTCCGAACTGGACTGTTCGTCCAGTTCGGAAACCGCGTCGTCCAGGTGATTCATAATAGTGGTGGCGTCATCGATCGAGCGTATATCAGCTGGATGGGCAGCGGGTTGGCCGATTAGCATAATCAGGAGGGTAAATCGCCTGGACGAGTTGTCCGCTCAGAAACCGCGTTTAATAGGCAGCGCGATGCGCGGGGCGCGCCAAACGACCGCCTCCCATACACGATGTTCAGGATTGTCGTGCAGCAGCCAGCAACGTTCGGCGCATTGTTAAAATTTAAAGCGCCCTTTGGACTTTGAGTACGCTCGCATAATGAACAGACCAAGAAGAAAAAGGTACCAATCAAGGAGTTTGCCCAGCTTGCGGTCATTAGTTCAACCGAATCGATGCATTGGATTGTATTTGGTCGTTTCCGCATTTATGATTCCAGTTTGAAAAAAAGGGAACTGGTATGAACTCAGCCATGTCTATTAGGATCGATCATAATTGGAATGCGAACTCCTGCACACTGAAAATGTCTGATCATCAGTATCTTCTATCGTTCCAATGATCACCAATTTTTTCGATACCGCGCCAGGACATCTCCATTTCGTGGCGCGAGTGAGAGTAGTCCAGTGGATCGTTCGAGGGACGCTGGGCAAAGGTATCTTGAGTATTCAGTGATGTTCTTTCCGTACAGCATGAAAGGAGCATCAGGTACCAATTCTGCATGAATATCGTCTTCGTTAGGTTACGTCGTAAACAGATTTCTCCATAAACATTGTTTGTCGAAGTCGGCCGGCATCTGTTCCGCCTGCTCGATGTTGGGTTTTATAGGCACGATGTCATCTGCAAAGCGGAGATGATGTAACTGCCGTCGACTTTCACTCTGAATGCCTTTCCATTCTATATGACGTATGATGTTCTCGAGAGCGGCACAGAAAAGTTGGGCGAGATAGTATCGACNGCCGACTCCCTCTTTTCACGATCATGATGACTTCTTCATAGAATGTCGATATCCTGGTCATGAAGTTGTTACAGAACTCACCAAGCATCATTATATACTGAGTAGAACACCCTGGTTGGAAAAGCTTCGAATACCGCTTCTGTCCCGACAATACCGAAGGCTCTTTTCATTCCGATGCAGACGTGATCGATTGTACGGAACCCTCTCCGCGATACCGCTTGCTCGCATGACAGTATTCATCTAATTTTTTGCTACAGTTTGTAGATTACAGGCAGCAAGCAGCTTGGGCGATAATTGTCATATCATATGTAGCTCCCTTATTATTTAGCAATGCAGACTTGCTAGTTTTCCACGAAGTGAGCACTTTGCATTCGGACACACACCGCGTGAAGAGCCGATCCAGGGTTTTGACCAATGAGAAGAAGCGAAATGACTTGATTAAGAACTGAAGTCCCTTCATCAACAGAGAAAAAATACTGAACCAATTGTACATAGCAGGATAACCAATAGAAGCTGTGAATTTTGCAACCATTTGCAATAGAGAAAAATGGTACGATGGTTTCGAAATTTGTCTTGTTTGGATTTGGAAAAAGCGACAGACAGCTCTGAGGCGATGAGGACAGAAACGAAAACCCGGTACGGCACTTCAGTCTTACGAAAATTTACCGTAAAATGAAATGCAAGAAACGTAGAATTTCACAAACAAGACATTTCCTTCTGGCATGACCCTGCTCGAGCACACAATTTTCCCACTTAAGATTGAACGCGTTAATTTGTTTGCGCGCGTGTGCATGTATGCGTGTATGGTACGTGTATGTGTATGAGTATATGTACACGTAGATGTATATGTTTGTGTTTGTGTGTGTAGGTGAGTGGATGTCCAACTGGGAATTAATAGCTGCTGTTCCCGTAGACCCAGAACGTTCAAATTCGATAGAAGTACAGGCGGCAGGATTGCAACACTTACGGAGGGTGGTTGGACCGGAATCCGCTAACGGGGCGAGGCTTGCACGACTAAAGTTTGAACGGAAATCTGTAGCTCTTGTTCCTGTAGACCTTGAGCGTTCAAGTTTTATACGAGAACAAGTGAGATTGTGGGAACATCGGTGTAGGTGGTAGGACAGACCCCGCCCAGAGTGGGCGGGGCGTGCGTGAAATTGTTCATTGTCATCTAGAGAGTTTAAATTTAGTAGGAATACAGGCGCCAGGATGGGAACAGCGATTGCTGTTGCTGCTAGTACTAAATTCCGCCAACAGGGAGGAGCTTGTGCGAAAGTTGTTCATTTCGATCTGACTCCGCGTACTCTGGGCGTGCTATCCACATATGTTTAACCAGTCGGGCCGCTCGGCTAACGCCAGGCTTCCCTCCTTCTTATGGTGTCGCCCGGCTTCGCCGGGCGCTCCTCCTTCCTGTAAAAAATTTGCTATGCGTAAATAACTCTTCGGATTCTCTTTTTTCTTTGAAAACCCCACACCTTCAATATTAGCTCCGAATTGGGAGCGATTTTTTCTGTATTGTGATTAAAGTCGGATTGCCGGCTATCGCCGGGCATCCTCCTTCTTATTGTTGACAAAGTTGTAGTAATCGGCTAACTCTCCACCCCTTCTCCGAAACAAATAATATTTTCCTGTACACGAAGTTTGACATAGAACTAACAGGGTATTTGTATTCAGTGAAAGTCGATACCTATGCCTTTAATTGGGAGATACCTTTTACTTCACAGAGATAACATTAGTTAAGAGTTCCAAATAACTGGCGGTCGGTTAGGTTTTTCGCAAATGATATCGAATAAAGAGGATCCATCGTTGAGTTAAGAGCCTTGCTGGATAGCGGTCGTAATCTAATAGCAAGAAATGAACAAAATTCTCATCTGCTTATCATAAAGCATCCCATGGATCCCTATAACTGCGCTTACCACTTCTCTTGTCACACTACTCTACCATCTCATCTTATAGAACGAAACATACTGAACAGCCAAAGCTACATCATAAATACCAAAGGCGTTAGGATTTCGATCGGCAGGTGGTACTTGCTCTCTTAGGCCCCTTATCTTCTTTTATCAGTTATTATCGGTTCTTGTCACCGAGTACCTAAGATCCCGTTATATCCTACACCACTTATTAAAAAGCCGAGTTTCCAGTGTTAGTACGAAAAGTTGTAATCTTACCATATTTGAACTCTCTAGGTCCGCAGAAACCGAAGTTATGATTTTTCGCTCAAATCTTTACTCTGCACAAACCCCGCCCGCTGAAGGCTGAGTCTGGACCTGTCACCTGCCATGAGCGTTCCCGCCCTTGTCCCCGTATTCCTGCCGAATTTGACCTTTCTAGGTCCACGTGAACAGGAGTTACGGATTTGCAACCTGAAAGATCTACCGCGCACGCCCCGCCCCCTGCCGGCGGAGTCTGGTCCTACCAGCTGCCATAAGTGTTCCCATGCCGTCCCCTGTACTCCTGCCAAATTTGACCTTTTCAGGTCCGCTGGAACAGGAGTTATGAATTTCCGGTCAAACACACACACACCGACACACCACACACACACCGACACACCAACAGACACACTTAGCGAATTATATAAAGTAGGAAATTTTGCTCAAAATTCTTACAGAACATGTAAAACATGGTAGGGAATTGATGGTGTGTTTCAAGTCAATAACGGGCGAGACTTGCAACGAGATGTAACATCATCGAAAACATCAGCTCAATAATCGGCTCTTGGCAGTGTATCAGCCAGACTAGACCACATTATGCTTATAAGATCATAGAAATAAGTCCACTTTTACAATAAAGGAGAGCTGGATACTAATGAGCACGATTGAATGACGTGCACAAATTAAAAAAAAAGACATCGCGGCTGCCAACAAACCTTTCCACCCTCATTTCCTCCAGCTCGGCTTGCAGAGGATGACCAGGCCGGTCAGCAACATCACCCGTGTTCTGCTGAACGCCACAAATCTTAGGAGTGGTCACAAATTATAGCACCATAATAAGTGTAAGAAGTCAGCCTACCTCTGCTTTAAGCGAATCTACCAACTTCTCTTTCGCATGGAGGATTTTTTGAGCCTTCTCTTTATACTGATCGAACTCCTTCTTATTTTCGCTGAGATTAAATTTAGCAAGGCGAAGCTAAAAAGATCATGCCTCAATAAAAAATGACAGTAGTTGGCCTTTCTTCACCTGTTCACCCATAGCTCGCACTTCTTCTTCATGGGCCATACACTTTTTTTTCAAGAGCGTGCATTCTTCGAGAAGAGCATCTCGCTGTTCTTGAGCCTTTTCCCTTAAACACAGCTTGTTTAAGGAACGCGAAGAGATGACAAACACTGCAAAAAAAGAAAATAGGTAACTCTCCATGGCACTGAGAGATGAGGGCTGCCAAACTAAATCCAAAAAAGAGGCATGATTACCGCGCAAGCTTGAGTTCCTCCACACAGTCAGCATTTGTCTGCTGCGCCAATCGCTGAGCAATCATATCCTTTTCGGCCATCAGTTCATAAAACTCATCGCTACGTTTCGTAAGTTTCCTTTCCAATTCCTGGAAGGGATTACAAGTCGTAGTCAGCCTGCCACAATGAGAAACTATTCTGCGCATAAAAGACTGTAGAGGATAACTGACTGAAATTTTTGATCTCATTGCAGCAACTTGTGACTCCTTGGCCCACAACTGAGATCTCATCTGAGGAAGATCAAGTGGTTGCTCTGAAACTGAATTACAGACTTCCCAAAACTATACACAATCAATCGCTTTAGCATTTCTTATCATAATTATATGGAATTTTAAGAATGCGTTTCATCTCTGACAGCTAACCTACATCCTAAGCGCTCCAGCTGACCACTATAACAATCAAATGGATTCCGAAAGATATTCATTCATGGACCCTGTTTTAAACAAATGCTTTCACACCTTTTCTCATTTGCTTTGAGGGATTGATGAAGACATACTGCAAGGAACACAGCCCTCTTTGAAAGATCACCTCTTAAGCAAATCATGAATACATTCAACAACTTGTGATTGAGTACAACAAAACAGCAATGTTTGGCTAATGTGGTCCCAGCTAAAAAGGATTGAGATATCCACTTTATGTCTCACCAGAAGCTATGCTTTGCGTTGTCTGAACAGATAGCACACTGCGCCCACTTGATCGACGGCTTCGAGTCTCGTCGACATCGTTGCCAACATTATCGGTAAGCATTGCAATCAACTCTTCATCTCGTCGTTCGCGTTCACTAACTACGGTGGTCGATGGAACAGGACTGCAACAATACGCTTACTGCCTTCGGAAACTCAGCACGTAAATAAGTGCTTGGAAGAAAAGGGTAAAATGAGGAACTAAATTCAGTACTGTTCATGAATTCGTTTTCGCCCTGCAGCTGCACCTCCAGCAAATTCAGAATGGGTTCGAGACGGAAGCGAAGGTCCACTTCGACCGATCTCTTCTGTATGAACTTCGCCCTCGCCTTCCTGAAAACATTTTAACGCTCTGAGCGGATCTTTCGTGATCATTCAAACAAGTGATTGCACTGAGCGATGGAATAGAAGTGTTTGTGGATAACTGATCCGATAGTAAACTTCACCGGCCGAACGCAAACGCGTTTTCTACATAACGTGGTTCACTAATGATGGCCATTAGCATTTCTCAACTTAACTTAGAAGAATGTCAAAAAGATAACAGTCTAGCTTTTGTCAAACAGTTCAACAACGATTCCAATGGTCTCAGCATGAGAATTCCCTACAAATTTCGTTCACTGATACAGTTGGTGCGGACAGAAGCGGACATGGGTCATAACTGCTCTTGAATCATCTTACAAAGGCCCTCTTTTATTGAGGGAATATCATCAGCACACTACTGAGAAGATCGCTGTAATTCGTAATTTGCAGTAATTCTCTACTTCATTCAAAATGGATACAGCTACATGCTAGAGGTATTTTTCTGTGGCAAACGATTATGCGCTGGCTTTGAGCACAAGTCTTTCACAAGCATGTGGTNTAATGAGGACCAAGTACTTTGAATTTCATTAATAGCGAGAACATATGGGAACTCACGTCGTCCTTCAAATGAGTGTAAGAGCTGCTGAAGGGTGGCCTGGAACTGTGTGCACGAGCTTTTTGACTTTGAATTGCTTCATTAGTGGTCTGATCAAGGCGATTCAAAAGATCTTCTGCTTTTCCAGCTAGGTCCGAAACTTTTGTTATCCATGACATCTATAGAATCTGAAAATTTCCAATAATTTCAATGTTAAAGTGACCGCGGAAATGACAACAACAAAAGTGGCAATCTTGATAGGCGCTCGGTAAAATGTTTACCCGTTGGGCACACACATTGTACTAAATTAGACGTCAAGATCAATTATTAAGGTATGCTACTACTGGGTGTGTTCAGACTACACTAAGTCACTTTTTCCTCCGATCAACCGAGCGAAAGGCTGATCGACCGGCCGAAGAGGTTCCTGGGCATGTGTTGACAACGCAGGATAGATTGCATTTAGGGCCGCGTGAGTCGTGTGGGTGCGTGATCCAACGGTGTCCATCGTCGTCAACACATGACCAGGAATCTCGTCGGTCGCACGGTCAGTGGGAAAAATGGACGTCGGTGGATTCCGATGCACCCATTCACAACCAACCATACCTCCAATTCTCTCCGGTATAAATTCAACCTGAGTTCACCTATTGGTCATACAGAGACATTGTATGAAGTGCCACTCAGACTGCCCGGCTCACCCGACCTTCTGACTTTTTGTGAAATGTTTCTATTTCTAGTACAAACGTAGCAACATCAGTCGATTTGCGTATCTGTGCGTCGGTGTGAATGTGTCCGACCGTAAATTCATAACTTCTGTTCCCTTAGAACCACGGTGTTCAAATTTGGAAGGAATGTAGGTTGCAGGGTAAGGACTCCAATGTAGGTGGCAGGACTTGACAAATGGGAATGAGTGAGTGACTTGAACACACATGACTTGAGCAGGACTCCACTCGTGATGGATCGGAAGCTCACGAATTGTGTCGATGTGTGGGTTCAACGGAAACCCAGAACACCTGTCTCCTGTAACACAGCATCCAAATTTGGAAAGGAAGTGGGCCTATTTCAACAGGAGGAAAGCACGGCGCTAGCCGAGCGATCCGAATGGTTACCATTAAGAACCTAATTCGTACCCACATTGGGTATACGAGAGCTGTTGGGTATACCTTTTGAAACTGAGCAGTGATTACTATATGATACTAGTATGATTACCAGTATATCCAATTGAGGATCACAGCGCATCAAGAGGCTACGTAATGGAATAGTACTCTCGTCCTTAGAAAGTCACGTTCCTCTTACTTTCGATGCGATTTAAGGCTACTTATTCGACCACCAGTAATCTAGTTTTCTCTTCTAGTGGTCTAAATCCATAAAGTTAAGAAGTGGGTAACCATATATAGAAATAACCAATCATAACTAATGCTGTTATAATCATAATCATTAGGATAAGGATAAAGTTTTTGGCGTTAATCAATCCCGTCTGAGGGATGCGCCCCTGCACTCGACTTCCATTCAGAATCGTAGTGGCGTAGTGAGTGCGTATGTGGCCTATGCAATGACAGCCGATGTACAAGTTAGTGCTTTCATCCTCCCAGACGGCTCTGTACCAATTCACCGACCCAGGAGCGATGGAAGGCTTGGCCTAGGCGGGCATCGATACGGGATTCACTGACCGTGCGTGTAAAATAATGCGCCGCTTGCCACTACGCCACCTCCGCCCTATCATAATCATTATCATTAATAAATAAATAATCATAACCACAAAGGCGTTATCATCGTAAAACAACATTAACAAGTACCTTTCGAGGCTTCGGTCGGCTAACCATGGTACTCACATTATAACAAACGATAAGACGGGATTGTTGAGTAGGCTGTTACTCTGTCGCTCTATTCTACAACCACTTCTTATACTTGTACGTCTCGTCCTCATCCATGTGCGAGCATCAGCAATGAACCATTCGTTTTCTCTTTCGAAATCATCATCTACGGTTGACTACGAGTCCGACGAAGATGACGATGTGATATTTCTTCAGCTGCAGTACTTGATCAACGAACTCATCACTCCGTCTACCAGAAGGCCTTNCCTTAGATCGTGGAAATCCTACGGGCTTACTTAATTGTCCTTCTTGTTCATCTGTCATTATCTCTTTTCATAACATGACAAGCCCATCGAAATACACTTTATCGCGAAGGCGAGCCATTCTGTGCATATCGGAGCTGCGTAGTTCGGCTCGATATTGAGTGAGCCGGTTGAATCTCATAAGATATCGCTCGAGTACAGGTGAATGCTTCGGTCACCTATGTCTCCTACGCGTAACAGAACGCAGGGAGAATTGTGAGATCGAACAGATTAACGCGAGATCCCGAATCAGCCATATGGTTGGTGAGTTTTTTCAGGAGTGCGGAAGCCGCTCACACTACCTTCTGCCGTCTTACGTATTCTTCCTTCATGTCAGTGTCCATTTTCATGAAAGCACGAGGTAAACGTGAGACCAAATCATTCTTCATGAAGTTGCTCTTAGTTAGGTTGATCCGCAGCCCTACCTTTTTTCCTGCTTCATTGCTTTCTGCAAACATAGTTTCAGCCTCCGCAGCGCTGCTTGAAAGGAGAACGAACACGCGAGTTCCTCCTTTGGTTGGAGATCTCCTTTTGGAGGTAGGATGTCATTAGTGTTGCGAGAAGAGCATGAAGTCCGTGATCAGAGATCCTCAACTGATGACATACATATGAAGAGAGGAAAGGAGATCCTTGATAACGATATTATATCGAGATTTCTAGTCATAAGCATCAGCACAACTGAAGATCACTTGCACTGCCTGTATTCCTGTGTCAGGAAAGTATCACCTGTTCCAAAGAGGGGACCGGTTGGCCGGATTACAACTTGGTTGTGGGCAGGAGATAAGCCCGGCGTAAGCCGGGTGGTCTGACTGGTGAGCATATAGCAGGACTTTGCGGATAACACATTGTTTTTCCCTATTGAATGAGCCAAGTAGAAGTGAATTAAAATGTTCTGACTACTACGTTTTCGTTACCGTTTCCCCGTTCTTCCTCTTGATCACTAGCATTGGATATTCAAATTTACAAGCCAGGACTTTTTCTTTCCTATGTGATTTCAATATGATCTGTCTGTTTATTGATAATGTCAGAGCAAATGTCCACCTCATTTTAAGTATAGCACATAATGGTCACTCGCCAGTATAGCGACCATAGAGGTCTTGTAGGCTGTCTAATATATAGGGTGGGCCAAAATCATGATTACAGCGCACATTCACGCGCATAGCAAATTTTTTCTGAGTTCATAAGAATTCGTTCACTTGTTTCCATTCCACAACGTTACATTATTACCTTTCTGATGATACTAAACTTATGGTAGATTTTGAAGTGTAAGCGTCACTACCCTGTGAATCAGTCATCGCTTTGCATTTACGAGCACTTTTGGCACGGCGCATCTACAGACGTATCGTAGCGTAACAAGGCAGGTGGTATTATGCATTCAACCATAAGGCGCTTTCGAGAGTTGGGAACAACCGCAAGTAGGAGTGGTAAACATAAGAGTTCTGTGGTCATATTTAGGGGGAGTGTTAAGGAAGCAGGGCGAAGGTCTGCATAGCAGCGAAGTTCATTCCGAGCCAAAAATGGCGGAATGGATGGATATCTCGTGAAGTTTTCTGCGAAATCGTGAAGCATCATCTACACGACAAGGACTTTGTACGATCAGAAAGTGATTTTCCCAGCGAGCAGGCTAATTGTAAGGAGAAGAGGAGGTTGGCTCACAAAAGCTGCCTAGCCGAAAAGATGTTCACGGTGAAAAAGGTGCTCAATAATCAGGGCGACAAATTTGTATGAAGATTAAAGAATTGAAAGTGATGCAGCGCTGGTTTTCTGCAGTGGCTTTTGTGAGCGCCATCGCCGAGGCAAACACAGCGATTATTTTTGTAAATCAAGGAGTGAAAGTTGATTTGAGGGCCTGTTCGATTTCATCGTGCCCAATAGAACACTTTGGCGATTCAAGCCGGACATATTGTTAGGATGAAGCTCCTGACCACAGACCAGAAATTGTCTAGGAATTTCTTTAAAAGGGGTTCCCTGATCCGTGGATCTCTCAGTGTGGTCGCCCTTCCAGATGAAAGCATCCAATAGCCCAAACAAGAAGTGAAATAATCTTGAAAATGCCTTGCAAAAAGCCGGGATCAACTCGATGACCTCAGCTGCGGGCCACCGGCAATGCCGTCCATCATCGTCTCTGGGATTGGGTGAAAGCAGAAAGCAACAGACCCAGTTTCAATGTACTATTTTGATAAGAGATTAGTGAATAAACACTTTTCTGGAATTGGTTTGCCTTATTAGCTTTCTATTGGTTTTTGGGGATGTTATGTCTGTGTAATCATTATTTTGGCCCACCCTGTGATTTCTTTGACTTTGGCTTGTATACTGCTATATATACAGTACGATTGCTTGTCGCTCTCCCACCACCGAAGCCCTCATCTTTCCATACCAACCACCTGACCACCTCAGAAACGAGAGACAGACCTAGTTAAACCTCTTAAATGTAACCGTTATGAATAGTAGTTACAGCTCTTATAGGCTTTTATTTCATACTTGTTGGGAATGCGTGATCTCAAGCTATACCCCTCAAAATTCGGATAAGAAATGTATCAATGAAAACAGGATGCGCAGCGGAATCCTGACAACTCTCAAGCAATGACAGGACATCCTTAATCGAACCAAGTTTCCGATTTTTTTGAATCAGAAAGCCGACATGAGCAGGCAACAAGTTTGTGAAATGAGCGCAACTCGAATAAAAAAATGGAATCAAGCTGGAATAAGCTAATTTGCTGAATAAGCTCAACTACTCAGCACAGAGGACTCGAGCAGGACTCCGGTCATGACAGGCGTGGCGCACACGAAGTGTGTCAGAGTGTGGGTCTGCAAATTAGCTTCGAGCACAGTAAAACAAACCCTGGGACTGTGCGAGCTACCCTCGCGTTCACTATTCTTCAATCTCTATCCACTTCAAATGCCGTTCCTTTCACTAGTGACTCAATTACATTTATGACGTCCGATTTCTTCATTAATTTTCAAAACCCACTCTTGCGCTTAGCAAAGTCACCTGTGCAGGTGCCTACGGGAGGAGTAATTTGCCCAGCACCCAACAAGGACACTCAACGCCTTACAATATTCCAATGTTCCATGAATTCTTCAGTATAGCAAATGAAAAAAGAGGATCACGCTTGAAATTTATTACCGATACTTGATCTTCATACAATACAATTTAGGATCTAAATAGCAATGAAGATATAGAAAATGCCATGATATGAAATCTAGGTCTGGCCAGCAAATTTCAGATAGTGTCCTTTGGGTAAGAAATAGCAAAATAGGACGTGGTTGTGCCTTTCGTCATCGAACAGAAGCACTACAGGATGAGCTAGACGGCTTCACAGAAGGCATTCTTCAGCGCAAACACAAAGAACGAATCCAATACGGGATATTAAACAAACAAAAACAAGTATATTGCGAACATAGTATTTCAATGTGGCGTTAAGCAATAGGACGCATGCTCGTGCGTGTATCAGATCATTAGCCTTACAATTTATGATAAATACGAAACAAGAACAGCAAGAGGGACTGATATCTACCGAGCTTACATCTGCTGTTCTGGTGCGTGGCGGAACATTGGTAGCAACCGGACACAAGTGATATTCTTAGCTAGTGGACGAAGTGATAGGTCTTGGCGCATTTTAATATAGCTTACTATTCTGAACTATTTTCTCTACAATATATAATAACATGAGAAGAATTTCTTTCACATCCAATCATTTAGCATTTAATGTACAGGCAACGATAAATGATTCGCCGATGAACTCAAAAGCCTTTTCGGCTGATAAAAGGTCTAGGGCTTTCCAAATAAAAAGCACCTTTTCACTTACATAGTTGTATGTTTGAGTAACCTCCTACAACTTGACGGTGCGTTATCTCTACATAAGCTGAAGATTATCTGACTTCTACCATGGGCATTAGCAGGTTATCCTATTTGTGCTAGCTTCTGATAATTTTGGTTCGACATACATTTAATCGAAGACAAGACGGTGTGACTTCCCACATTCTGATCATAAACAGCAACTGATATGTCTGCCTGTGGTGCGCATCTTACGTAACAAATAAAAGGCACTGTGACGCACAAACATCCTACCGATAGGAGGTTAGTCAAAGAAGCTTGAAGAAAATCGCAATCCCTCATCATCGATGGTCACGTCAATTGTGATTCATTCGTATTGGCTGAGTCATCGACATTCGATTGCTTGTGTGTGTCCGCTCGTGTTTCGTTAAATGATCAGATCGCATGAACTTTTTGCCACAGTGGCCACATGCAAATCGCTTCTCACCCGTATGCGTACGACGATGTCGCTGAAGTTCGTCGCTTCTGAAACACCAGAACTATGTGCTGACTTTAGTTTAGCATGATAAATTCAGAAACCTTCGCAATTACGAGTGTACAAAACTCATGAAGTGTTAAGTGGAGTCATAAGTCCTCGAACAATGTGATAGTAATGACTTCTAGAGATCACAACTCGGGAAAGAAGTGACGAAAATGGACGCGCGAGGCATCGTTAGACAGGGTATAAAAAGCTCTTAAAAATACATATTAATGAACACAAAGTAGAAACGAGAGGCCTAAGTTTTGTGAAAACGGAGCGATCGAGCTCTCAGTGCTGCATTTAATCCCGCAAAAAGTGTGTAGTGGGTAAGGTAAATGCGGGGGGGGGGGAAGGGGGAGGGACCGGCATCCGGTGTTTCAAAAATAGTGTTTATCGTACGCTCAAATGAAGCCCCCATATGGTAGTGTATGGGAAACTTGGATTACGCACAGGGAAGGCAAGGCCTTTTTTGCTAGGAACACGTTAGCTTTCGGGACGGAGCCATGACACTGTGAAGCACGGATTCACCGGTGGTAGGGTCACGGCAAACGAGCTTGGGAGCTGAAACGCAGACAACGACAACGGCTTTCTCTGCGTTTCAGTTTCACTGAAGGAGCGGTTTCGAGAGAAAAACACCAGACTCCTGACCGGCAAGATAATCCCTTTCCTTGAATCCCATCGAGAACCTGTGGGCGGCTCGTACGGGACCTTTACTCCAACTAAAAAACGGCTAAAAATGTCGTCAGAAGGCTTCAGAACAGATACCGCCGGAAATCTAAAGCCTGAATGTCGGGCGATTGAAGATATCGAAAGAGAAAATGTATTTTTTCAAAAAAGGGCCGTCGTTAACTATTCTGTCACAGGCAGGCACAGTTCATGGTAATTTTAAGGTACTCTTCTAAAGTTGAAAAAGAAAGTAATGGTGGGTAACAGTGCATCGGTGGCGAAGAAGGCAAAAAAAAAACAGAATTCGCGATACAAAAGGATCTTTAAATGGGAATGAAAATAGGGGGTTGTACGAGAATACCATGACGGAAATAGTAAAAAGGAGTTTAAACGAAATTTGTCATGTGCATCGAGTAAAGAGCTGCCCACAGGGTGCCAACAATGCCAAAAACTGCCCTCCGCTGTCGCTAGGGGTCCCGACATTCAACAAATAAGCTTTATTTTGGAGCTTTATTTCCTATAGCGCTGTTTAAACAACTCGTAGTTTGGATCTTGATGAAGCCCGTTTTTTGAGCCCTTATCATGCCTAAACGAGGCCGTTTTGTCCGACATCTCTTCGTATGATACATTTGGGACCACATCCCTTCCTTTGCAGGTCATTAGGAAATTCTGTTATCGACAACATCGGTGATACTTACAACCAGCTCTTCAAACATCTCAAAGACTATTTTCGTCGTGAACTGTGCTCAGGAAAGTTCGAAACTTGAAATGGACCTGCACTTTTGGGACTCAATAATTTTTTGGGAGTGTGAGATGTGTGACCATAATTCACTCGTGCAGTTCTCCTGAGCGTGGAGTGTCCAAATTCGAATGGGATACGAACGGCAAGGCGAGAACAGTAAATGACGGAAAGCCATCACAACTGATAAGGGCCGATATAGCCGACAAGTGAGATGCAAAAACCATTGGATCACTTCTTCCTTTCTAATGTGGGGGGGGGGGGGGGGGGGGGGTTT